ACCTTGGTTTGTGAGCATAGTTCGTTCCAGAAACAAACCACTCGTATTGCAAGACATTGCTCATTTACCATGTTAAAATGTATTAGAAATGTTTGCGCGTCTTGCAGAACACTAGCAAACCAAGTCACTCACAATCCAAGGTTTTGTATGCCTTACATTCCCAGAACCCAATGCTATGTGGTGTCCTGAATCCAAATAATGAACACTTACCACGGAAAGTCAAAAGATATACAGCTCTTGGAGAGTTAACACTGCAGCTTTGGTTTTCAAGAAAGATTTGATGTGCTGGTGGCAATAGAAAATATAAGCTTACGCACAGATTTAATAAAAATACGAACTTGGTTACAACTTTAGAAGTTGAGGACACTGTTAATTATAGTGCTAATGATAATCTTTCTGGCTAATCGAGAAAAAAGCCTTAAGTGAATGCTCAACTTTTTCTGATTACTTTTTAAGTGGGCATGAAAGTATTATTTTCTCTCAATTAGAACATAGCGTAGTACTTTGTCCACGGAAAGGAAGTTATTTTCAGTGCTGTGCACTTAATAGTAGCCCAGTCTCAAACGCACAAACTTCTTGGTAGCTACTTACTCAACTGATCATTTTTTACCTAAATCAGGCTATGTTATCGATTCAGTTAAAAACAATTTAGCAATTATTTACTTAGCATGTACTGTTTACTTGATGTTATGTTAGCTGCAAGATCATTATCAAGAAAACTCTTCTCATTTTTTCAAGACCTAGGTGAAGAGGAAGAAACTAGGAAAATACAGCCACCATAAAACTTTAAGACAATATATAATGGAGGAGCCTAAAAGAATAATATTTGTTTAAACAGGGTAGGTTTCACCAATCTTCTCATAGTCTATTAAATAATATGGGGCAAAAAAATCGATAACAATCTGTATTTCAGATTGGATACCCATGGTTCAACATTATCTATAAACCACAAAGGGTCTGCCGAACCAGCAATCCATCCATACTCAGCGGTAATTGAGGGGCTGTCTGCCAACATGCTGGCATAGGGCATCCTGCACCCTTATCTGCAGTGTTGAGCACTCATTCATCATTAAACTGCAGTAGTGTTAACAGATGCTGCAGTTGTGTTAATGTTTGTTTTACAATCACTGCTGATCTACCTTTATACCAGGCCAAGAAGGTAAGTGTTAAGTGAACAGAAATAAATTTGGAAACAGCACCTGGTTCACATTGAAAGCCCAAAACCTCCCTCCACCAAACCAGAAAATTTCCCCCAATCTCAAGGATTCCAGATGCAAAAGATTAATCCACATAAAGCACTACAGATTTATAGGAAACTCTACCACCTTGATGAAAAATGTAGTATTTTTGTGTCCCATGCTTTCACCCTCTTTGGGAGAACTAATCAACCATGTTGGACAAGCAGTCAGCTTTGATGATTTTTTTCCATCACTCAACAAACCAGTACTTGAATTCACTCATAGGCTAGTTCTTTTTACATATCATCCAGACACAAGGGGGTTAGTTATGGTTCTCCCAGGGGCTGACTGGTGGTCAACTGGCAGCCCGGGTGAGGAAAAAAGCTCATTTGGACAGTTGTATCAGTATGAAAATGGCCAGCTTCACCTTGCCTGAATCTCACCTTTACTAAAAGTTCATTAAGAGCACTGGAAACTGCCTGATTTGTAGGCACTCAGTATGTCCTCTAATGAGCTGAATTATAAGCAATAATCATAAACAGGAGGAGCAAACAGTAAATCCTTGTAGAAGGCATTTAGAAGACATTCAGAGTTGTATGTTGCTTAATCAGTAAAAGGCAGATCAGGGGGAAAAACTTGTTTTCAGGCTATTTAATGAGTAAATAATAATAAATATTTATTTCAAGTAATAGTGACTAATTCCTAAATAGGTTTCCCATCTTACACAGAATTCAGCATGATGTAATTTAATAAGTCAAAAAGGGGGAACTTCTTGCTGTTCAGTCCCATTAAACCCATGTGAAAATGCTTCTGCAACCATTAGGAATGCCATGAAGAGTAAAAGACTTATAGGACAACATAAAAGTCCCTAACCCTTAAGCCTCAACTAGTCCGGACTTCCAACTAAACATACAATTTAATGGAAATAAATTGTATAGACAAAGCTACTACTAATTTATTTATTATATTTATGGAGACTGGAGATATTGACGGGGAAAAGGCAGTGCTTTTATTATATTCAGAGGCATCCAACTCTTAAATCTTTTAAGACACACCTTACATGCCTGAATCCTAAAATCCTATAACAAATCCACCAATTGCTTTCTACCTCCAAACTGTCAAAAGGGAAGTCATAATTCATCAGAAAGGAAAGACGACAATTATTAATGGTGAAGAGGTCAAGGCCATGCTTTAAAAAAAATACAATGAATCACTATTTTTTTTAGCTTGAAATTGGAGATCCTGGGGAAATAAATGGCCTTTATTCAACGATTCAGCAAACACTACTAAACTACTGATGATGCTACTTCCAAGAGGTACTTACTTCCCATGTCAGGTTTAAAATGGAAATGCCTGTTCTAACATGTAGTATTTAGTTTGCAGTGACCAACAACTACAAACACCACCACTGTAATTTATTTCACATTCAAAGTCAATTTCAGACTTTAGGTATACAAAAACACACTTAATTTTCATAAGAATTCATAGCCCCATCTCTGAAATATAAAAGCAATCATAAAACAGCACACAACTTGGACTACATCTACACTGCTGTGCAAGTCTCAAAGTCCAACTAAAAGCTTTAACGGTAGCCTTTTGGTGATTTAAAGGGGAGTGCCCCCCAAATAATCTCTACCAGACAAAAGATAAGGACATGTGGCTTACTGATCTAAGGGAGATAAAATCTGGCCCGTCCACCAAATTTTGAAGTCATTATTTAACAATGAATATTCCATAGCATGTTTCACATTCAATTCGATGGTTTGCAGATTAATTCCTTGCCCTAGGCCTAGGGCTCAGATACAACTCCTGAGAGCCTTCCGGTTTACTGCATTTGGTACAAATTCCCGAGACTTACCATAGTCATGGTTGTGTAGGAAAATGTGAGCAGTTGGGTATTCCAGCTGAAACAATGAGGTCAAAGCTCATTTCAGTGAGAGCTTAAGGGATTCTCTGCAGAGATCTCGGTTGGGATGCAAAGTACTGGCCTCAAACCTGCAGGCTGGCACCTCAAGAACTGCTGCAAATTCTACTGCAAGCCCTGGCGTCCTGGGCCAGCACTGCTTAATTACTAGACTTGTATACAATGCAGGTCACTCAGCAAAAGAAAAGCAAAGGGGGCTCTTAGGCCAATACCTGGGTTGTTCGGTTTCAAATCCTTAAAAAAAATGACATCAATATCTTAATTTCAAGCTAATGAATTTATTACAAACCAGAGTCCAGTTGTTTTCCTCTATTAGAGTGCCATGTGAAAAGATTATCGTTTCCCCAAACATTGCAATAAGCTCTCTGTCACCTTTCCTTTTCTGTCACCCCCAAACACTCCAAGATCACAAGAATATATGTGAAATGGAACTATGAAATATTAATACAATGCTCTTTTACCTTCTCTGGTTAAATGTGAGGCACCAATTTTAGTCACTTGCTTTTTAGCAAAGCATCCAGTATAAGCCAATTCCTATAGATTTCAAAATCTCTGACGTGTACAATATAGTGCTCTGTGCCACAGGTAATCTGCTCCAATTTCCTAAGACATGTCTCAGAATGAGGTAAACATTTAGAAAAACATTAACACAGCACACTTGTGAATACCCTAAAGAGGGATGTACAATTATTTCTTTAAGCCAGGTACATTTGTGAAAGTTTCCAATGCAGAAAAAAATCAGAGCAAAATCATCCGACGCATGATAAATGTCAGCAGTGCTTTGATTAGGAATAATCCCATGAAAAGAACCAAACTGACAAGTTCTCAAACCTATATTGTGAGGGGGTTGGGGGAGCGCACAGCACTCAACCATTTTTCCTGACGACAGAAAAATCTCCACTTACAGATGAACCCTTTCTTTCACATCACTGGCAGAAATAAAATCCTATTCCCGCCATCTCATCTTGCAATTAAGGAAGTTACGACAAATAGCAGGATAGAAGTGATGGTCCGTTTTGCTCCATTCTTAACGCACCCTTTTAGTAGTAAAACAGGTTACTCAAAAAAGTCAGTAAGCAGAAATCGTGTTTTCCTATGTTCAACTCCCACGGAAAAGGCATTCCGTGTTCTGGGGACTTGAAAGGGGATAAACGTGGACCGAGAAGTCCAGCCGCAGCCTGCCTTCTCCCAGGGGTTCAATGTCTGGGGCATTCAGGGCTCGGCGAAATCTCCAGACGCGGCTCCCAGCAGCGGCTGCCTCCAGGCGTCTGTCTCCACATCCATCCAGCCCACCCTGACAATAGCCCTCGCTTTTATTTATCGGCCCCAAAAGGTGAGCTTTTAGGCTGGGTCTCCGAAGTTTGCCCAGCCTCCGATCATCAACCGCCAGGCCGAGCCCCGGGCAAATCTGACTCCTGCCCTCTCCTCCGGCCCCCTCAGCCCCCTGGGTCTTTTTTTGGGCCACAGATAACAGGTCAACGCTTACCTCCACGTGCTCGCGGCAGAGGAAACAAAAGAAAGCCACCTTCCTGATAATAAAACGCCATCTTCGACTAATTGGCAAACCGAGGGGCCCCTGGGTCGGTCCCCCACCATCTAGCCTGAGATGGCCCCCCCCCGTCTGAAGCGGAGTTTGTAACGGCCCCGGGAAGCTCCGCTTCAATTGTCAGGAGGGTTTGTGTATGTGTGTGTGTTGGGGGCGGGGGGACTCAGAGCCCTAACTGCCTCCCTACCCTGGCCGCCGGGACAGCGTGTTTCTGTGAGAATTAAAAGGGGGGTAGTGGTGGTGTCTCCCGACAGAGGCACTTATCTGCTCAGAAAACAGTTCTGAGGGACCCGGCGGAGGGGCTGACGAGCCAGAGAACCGGCCCGCGTGGAGCCGCAGGGAGTGTACTTACAAAGCGGTGAAAGCTCGGGCGAAACATCACGTCCAAGGCTGGAGGCGCCGAGCTGGGATCCGCCGGTCTGTCTGGGAAAGGTGTCGTCCACACAACACACTGCGGCGTGGGCCGGCAGCTCGAAGCGCCCGGGAGGCGGGCAGCCCAGCCAAACGCCCGCCGCCGCCGCCGCCGCCGCCGCCGCCGCCGCCCTCCTCGGCTCTG